TTCTGTTTCTTTGGTATATCACTAACTCTTATCTCTATTCTCAATGAGGGCTGTTTTTCCTAACACATTCAGCTCTATCTTTTCGGTATACATTGGTAAGCTATTTATACTTTTCTATCTAACAATGGCTATTTACTTTATAATTGACTATACTAACCCTAAACTTTGTTAAACTTTCTATACTTTTCAGATACACGCAGTTCCCTTATCAGTATCTGAGCCTTATCTATAGCTTCTTATCTTGCAACACTCAATCTTTTATGTCAGACTTTTGGATTTTTGGATTCTAGACCATTACGCATAAATTGCATCACCCATGTGACCCATAACACTATAGGAAAGATAATAAAGAAATAAGGGGGATGTATTAAAAATTATGATCATATATAAAAAGTTTATTCAAATGGGCTAATTAATTATAAAAACCCCCTAGAAAAATAGTTAATACAAATTACAATATATTCGAAGACCTAAACTAGCAGTGTGAAAGAAAAAGATATGATCAATATATATGTGTTCCTTAGTTTTCAAATACTACTACCACTATTTGTAAGTTCAAGAAGAAACTTATAACTAAATGACGAGTTGCTGTACAGCTCATATAGGGGGAAGAAACTTTTACTTGAATCCACACTATCCAATATTTCTATTGGATATACTTATTTTTAATACACTCGAAGTGGTGATATTGGTATGATATCTTATATTATCTTGTGATAACTCTCAACAATATCTATATGCTAGTTTGTTGGTCATTTCAGATAGTATTGTAAACTTCCAAGTCAAGTACTGGTGCCACTCAATTTAACTTTATCTAAGGTTGCCTCAGTATTGTGAGAAACTCTTCCGTGTCTTTTTCATGAAATTACTTTTTAGCCAGGTTCCAACTATATATAGAAGTGAACTACTCTTGTTAAACAGAAAGAGGAAATTCTTTAGGACAGGTCATCTACGTAGTCAATTTAGTGGGTGGGTTGATGGAAGGGAGCTCTTCTTAGTATGATTGGATGATTGTTATATCTTTCAAGATGGGAGGGATTCTATCTCTGAATAAGAAAGGATTAGGGATAGTAGTATATATATAGCTGTATAGGTCGATCCAATGCAATATGTTCTACCTTACTATAAGCACTTTTTATCCCGATACAGTAAAGTCGAGAGATATTTACTTGACCTCTATGTCCTAAGAATTGAGTCAACTGGTTTGCAGCTATGTATTTCTTCCTCTTCCTTAATAAGAGCCAAAGACATAGTAGTAAGCAATGTTCTGATCCACTTGCATCAGACTCTTACGACTTATGGTGGATTTCAGGTTCTTATGGAGCCAAGAAAATGTATTCAGACACATATTGTGACCAATAGGAGCTTGTTTACATTTTTGTGCTGACGTAATTCTACTAGACCAATCAAATTATGAGAAATCTTGTGCTACTTGAAATTCAGGATCAAACTGAGATAGACAAAATTCTCTAGAAATGATCAAGAAAAAGTACTATTAGAGCTGACATCATGATAAAGAGAGTAGATATAGTGCATTCGCGATAGCTCTTTTATCATCAATATAGACTCTATGGTGTTTCTCTATAAGATAGATAGGTAGTAGGGTATTAGTTCTTCTTCCTTTTAGAACTTTTTGCTATAGGTAGGAAAATATATTCATGATTATTCAAGTCACTAGTAGTCAAGTTTTTGTTTTAAGAGAGTATAGATAAGAAAAGAGAAATAAGAGTGACTCCTGAAAGACTTTTTAAGGTGTTTTAAGGAGAGTAGTAAGATTATTGTTGGCAAAAAAGCTAGAAAGCTTTTTTGTATGTCTTTTTTATATGTGATTAGAGGATTATCAGGAAAAGTTGTCTTTATAATTAATATAATTTAAATTTTGTATTTATATTTTAATAATTAAAACTAAAACTTTTATTTTTATATCTTTTAAAACTATGTATTTATTTTTGGAATCACCAGTTTAAACTTATATCAATTAGATATGAATAGTTTTATTAGGGATTAGTAAAATAAACTTGTCTTGTATTTATAAGATTATATTTACTTAAATCTTATTTATAATTAAGTACAATTCAATTTTCAATTAGTAGTGAAATAAATATTAAATTTAATTCTTTAAATATGAATTTATCAATATTTCAAGAAATATTTTATAAAACTTTTCAATCAGTATTAAATAAATTTAAAAAACATATTAATTATCATTTTACATTATCATTATTTAAAGTTATTTAATCTACTCTTTCTACTGATTCTCTGACTATATATAAAAAAGATGTTTGCAAGAAGTTTTTATATTTCTATGCTAATAAAGTCTTATTACTCTTCTTAAATCAACTTAAAGAAGTTTCAAGAGTCATTAACTACTCCCTCTTCTCTTGTCTACTATTCTCTTTAAACAAAAACTTGACCTCTAGTAACCTTAAAGATCAAGGAAAAACCTTTTTTATCAATAACAAGAAAGTTCTTAAAGGAAGAAGAACCAATGTACCATTATATTACATTGTAAAAAAATACATAGAAACCTATAAATTATGAAAGACAACTTCTTCACTCTCTTGCCATTATGTATACTTCTCATAGTACTCATTCTTGGTTTTTTTTAAGGATTTTTCTATCTCAGTTTGATTCTGAATTTTGAGTTTTACAAAAATTTTCACACAATAATTGAACAAATAGAGCTCACATTAGTAAAAAAAATATAAACAAACCTCCATTGGTCACTTCATGTATCTGAATACATTTCCTTAGCTCCATAAGAACCTGGGGTTCACCATAAGTTATTGTACTGGTGCGAATGAATACAGGACACTTCTCTATTTATATCAGTAGTTCCTTTAAAAAAGAGTCTGTCTGACCATGGTAAAGGTTACAAGATACTACAACTGAGTTTTATAATTATAGTCACCCACTCCTGGCTACTGAGTAGTTTCTTTCTTTAGCTTCATCAAATAAGTAAAAATTCAAAATAAAGTTCCTATGACAAAGTTGAGTTGTATGGTAAGCAAGACATAAGGGGGTCAAATTTTTTTTAAGGGGATAACATATCTTAACTGAGCACATTATTAGGGAGAATCTAGGAGGATTGATAAATCTTTTTTTTTGGTATGTAAATTAGATTGATCCAAGTAATTCTTCTTAACAACAAGCCATCTCGTGGATTGGAGTGGTTAGAATTTCACAATATGGAGATATTGAAAGCAGCTGAGAAACAGGCAGTATGTTCTTGACTGATGAAGCCCTTGAAGAGTAATCAGTTTACAGAATTAAAGTGATAGTAGTAATGTAAAATTTTAATTCTCACAGACAATTCTAGGAGTGTTTTATTAATAACTATTTCTTGTATCTGCATTCATTTGCCCAGACTTGAAACTTTAATAAAACAAGGTTGAGTTGTTGTTTTAAAAAAAAAAAAAAAAATTTAAAGTTATTCAATATTTTAATCTTCAATTTATATAAGTTAATCAAGTAAGATATAAAATTTAAAGATATAGTAAAATCAAAAATTTGAAAATTCTAGTAGTATTATTTTATTTGAATGAGAAATTTATTATGAATTAAATGAACATTTCGAAGATAATAAATTAGATTTGACTTCCAGTATTGGGATTAATGTTTTTTATCTATAGAAATATTCTTAGTGATAAATGTTCCATTTTAAAACTTATACATAATAAATTACCGCACGCATATTTTTGATTGGCCAACGCATATATGCCCTACAGTATACAGTATATCGTTAATCAAATTACAAATAGTATCCCAGGTCTTTTACTATTTGCCGAATTGAAATTAACATTTGGTTTTTTAAAGTTGTCGCTCGTTCGTTTAGTTAATACAGCATAATGGGAAAAGGCACTGATAAAATGTAAGTTTTCTCAACGATTTACAGTCTCATGACTTTTCATTAACTGTTGTTTGATTTCAAAAGGTACATTACCCACTCCGGTAACCTTTTCAGAAAGATCAGATCAGCTTTTTCTCTTTAAATGTAATATTTTGATTTTACACACTTTTCAAAATTATATCAGAGTGGTCTGGGGAGTTTGGAGGTATGCAATTTGGTGGTATCCAGGCGAGGAAGAAAACCGAAATCTTCAAGAGGCTCCCATTTAATTATTGTTCGTTGTCGTTACAACCGTTTGAGCATCCCGTATGTACCCCCGATGGCATTATCTTTGATTTAAGGTAAGTTTACAGCAGTTCGCGTGAATTATCGGCAACATGCCTAATTAAATATTCTTACCCCTAGAACTATTTACCCTTATATAAAGAAACATGGAACAAATCCTGTTACAGGCGAAAAATTAGAAGCCAAGTCGCTCATAAAACTTAATTTTTCAAAGAATTCCAATGGTATGTACGCTGTCTTTTGTCGGGTACAATGGATTTTTTCTTTATTGGCTTATTCTTATTCATTTAACAGGTGAATATCATTGCCCTGCCACGTTTAGAGTTTTCAACGATCATACACATATAGTCGCAATAAGGACAACGGGAAATGTGTACACATATGAAGCAATCGAACGCTTAAATATCAAATCGAAAAATTGGAAAGATTTGTTGACTGATGAACCTTTCACGAGAAAGGACATCATCACCATACAGGTATCATTGATTCTCGTCTTTCTTGTTCCATAGAGTGTAATTGGTTGACCGTTTTTGTTTTTAAACTTCAGGATCCGCATAATATAGAGTCACGCAATTTATCAAATTTCTATCATCTCAAAAATGATTTAACCGTCGATGATGGTATTTATTTTTATTCCATTATATTTATTTTTATGGCTATACATGCTGCTTTTTCTAAGATCTTCTTTTAGAGGATAAGTCCTCGATCAACGATCGTTTAAATGATATAAATCTTGGCGCCACTGGTTCAGCCGCTCGTGTGTTGGCAAAAATTTCTGGTCAAGTGAGTTATGTTTTTTGACATTTGGATTAGGGGTTTCACTTTAATTTAAATTTACTTTGTTATCATTATTCGATATAGAAAGACGAAGCTTCCGACCGAACCAAGGATGCTGACGATGAGTCGAAATCCAATCAAGCTTCTCCCTCGTCTCCTTTAAAACAGAAAAAAAAGGTTATACCATACAATGCGGCGCCTTACACGCGTGGGCTTGCAGCTGCATCATTTACTTCCACAGCAATGACACCTGTGACAGAAAACGAAAATGCACTTATTGATGAGGAAGAATTCATGTTCAAAGAAGTTAAATCTAAAGGTTACGCTCGCATAGTGACTAATCTAGGAAATCTGAATATAGAGCTTTTTTGTGATAAGGCAAGAAAATTTTCGTGTTTCTACTTCTAACTTTGCTTTAACTAAAATCACCTGTTGCTTGATTAGTCACCGCGAGCATGTTATAACTTTATAATGCTCTCAAAAAAAGGATATTATAACCGGTTGGTGAAATAAGGTTTTGATTATATCTTCGTCAATTATGACCCTATAAGAAAATTCAACATTCTCATGAAAATAAAATAGGACTGTATTTCACCGGAAGATCAAAAATTTCATGGTATCGTATGTATATATATATATATATATATATCCCGATTCATGCATCCGTTCGTCGGTCCATCAAACTAAACAATTATATTTGCCTTAGATTCAAGGTGGTGATCCTACGGGCACCGGTAGAGGAGGAGAATCATATTGGAAGAAAGATTTCGCGGACGAATTCAAGAGCAATCTGTCCCATAGTGAACGTGGTTTATTGAGTATGGCAAATCGAGGGAAAAATACTAATTCATCTCAATTGTAAGCAAATAATGCATTGTAGCTCGGCATTTCAAAGTTATTCATGAAATTTTATTTATGAAGGAACTTTATTTCATTAGTTTCTTTACTTTCCGACCCTGCACCCACTTGGACAATAAACACACTATCTTTGGTAAATTAGTGGGAGGAAAAGAGGTTTTGGATAAAATGGAGTCTGTACCTACAGACGATTCTGATCGACCCTTAAGTGAAATAAGAATAACCGATGTCACTGTTTTCGTGGATCCATATGAAGAATATAAAAACCGGTTGGAAAAAAAGCTGAGCCGCGAAGCGGGAATTGTCAAAAAAAGGAAGATTTCTCCAAAGGATGAACAGGTTTGAGATATTGTTTATTAGAGTTTTGTATTCATTTTTAAAAATAAACTTATATTATCTAATTATAGGATTCAACCACCAATTGGTTTGGTACGAAATTAACATCATCCGGTAATCTTAAAGAAGATAGCAAAGTTGGGAAATATTTGATGTCATCGAACAAGAGAGAAATAGACGATGCCTCAAATAAGGATCTTTTGATAGAATCGACACCAAAAAAACCAAAACCGTCTGGGTATGACTTTGATTTTAGTAAATGGTGATGATATCCACCTGCATGTTTTCACACTATTTTTTAACGTGAGACGTCTAATAAAGCAAAGTATTAATTGCTCTTTTTTTTTAAAAAAAAAAAAATTGAGTACATTCAAATTATTCTACTTGCCTGATCAGTGTTAGTCGTAAAAAAATCAAATATTATTAATAAGTTGACTGGAAATAGCCTGATCATCATAAATGCTATGATTGGCGCGAAGCTTAATGAAATCTGGCATTAGTTAATACGAAATCGTATGATCGCCTTGTCATCCAATCAAAGCGGAGTTTATATTAGTTATAAGAGTTCTATTTAGTAAGGTCCTCGATTTTCTCTGATACAGTATTGACATGTAAAATTTCTAATCCTTTTTCTCAAAAAAGAATACGTTTACTGCACCCCTTCCCTCAAAATACCTTTCTTTCGTTAGTCTTCGTCTTCACATTAGACCTTCACCCCGTAATCATTGTTATAATCAACTATGAAATTATCCAAAATTAACTTATTCCTTTTACCTCTGATATTTTCGAGTATACTCTCATTCTGTCCGGCACAGACTTTGCTGGAACAAGCAAGATCGAATTTTATGGAAACTTTGCTGGACAAAACTTCCGAACTTGACCATTGCTCGGTGAGTGTGCGATATATACAAGTATTTTTAAGAATCGAACGTTTTACTTAAACTTCTATTAACGCAGCTCTCGGGGGTCATAACCGACGCCTGTTGTGATTACGAAACTGTCGAAAAGGTGAATGAAGATATTGCGCAACGAGTACAAGAACTGGTTAAGACCAATTTCTTTAAATATTATAAGGTAAATAATTATAATATATAATTCACAATGTTCAAGCTTTCACGTTTGTAATTTAACGACATTGGAATTTTTCCATTAATATAATAGCTTAATCTTTATAAAGAATGCCCGTTTTGGATGGAAAACGGACAGTGCATGAATCGGGCATGTGCGGTGGAGACCGTCGATGAGGTGAATAAAGAATCATTAAGATGTCGTCAAATCGTCTGCAATTGCTAATACAAAATTCCAAACACGTTTGTATAGTCTCATATTCCAGAATCGTGGCGTAGTAACGTCCTCGGAGCTTTACAAACCTCATCGGCTGGAATAGTATGCATTAATTTGATACCAAATAATCTATTATACCTATCTGGTTGATCGATCAAACTTTGCATTGTTGTTTCTAGCTTTTTCACCCTTACAAGAAATGTGAATACAGCGATCAAGATTTCTGCGTAGTTGAAGACGAAGCTGATGTTGGTAGGTTTGCAATGCTATGCTATGACGTCTTATAGATGTACCTCTTAACGCTTTCGCTATATTTATACAGAGGGCGTCTTCGTCAACCTTCACGATAACCCCGAAAGGTTTACAGGATATGCTGGAGCGTCAGCTAGTCGCGTCTGGAAAGCCATATACGAGGAAAATTGTTTTAACTTTCTTCACGCAATCCATGACCAGACAAGTAGGAATAATCTAGCCGGATTGCTCCAAGAAGTTGCCGAAAAGTCGGAGAATGGTAATGATGTTTGTTTCGAGAAACGGGTTTACTACAGATTAATATCAGGCAAGTATTATTGTTAATTTTAGCTTTGATAGATAATTTGATTTCTCATGTCTATATGCCTTATTCCATGAAGGCCTTCATTCATCGATATCTATTCACATATGCGATGAATATTTAAATCAAACTACCGGTCAATGGGTTAGTAAATCCCACAATAAGCGTCACACTTGTTTATGCATTTTGTTAACGCTTTTAATTTAGGGGCCCAATCTCGACTGTTTCATCTCTCGTTTTGGTTCTCATCCGGAACGTATTCAAAATGTATATTTCGACTATGTCGTTTTGATGAGAGCCATTTCAAAGATGTCGGAATATCTTCGAGGTTATGAGTTTTGCACGGGTGACAAAGTTCAAGATGCCCAGGTTAAAAAAATGGTTAGTAAACTTGTGAATACGGCCGAATCGTGTCCCGGAACATTTGACGAAAAGCAAATGTTTTCGTCTCCTGAATCTAGGGTATGTACTTTTAATGTAAGATTTGTATTCTATTTTTTTCAATTTATTTTGTTAACATCATTTTTCCATTATACAGCTATTAAAGGAAGAATTTAAAAATCATTTTAGGAATGTTTCCCGAATTATGGATTGTGTCGGATGCGAAAAGTGTCGCTTGTGGGGAAAGTTGCAGATATCTGGCCTCGGGACAGCATTGAAAGTACTCTTTTCTTACGATGATGAATATTTTAAGTGAGTCAAGCTTCTTCGAGAACCTCAATTTTCATAACTTGGTTTCTCATATCATTGATACTTGAAAGACTAACGTCATTTCTCACATAGTCCGAAAGTACATCCGAATTTATTAACGCGTACAGAAATTGTAGCACTTTTTAATACATTTAATCGATTCTCCGAGAGTCTTAAAGCTATTGAACGTTTCAGACTGATGTATCAACAAAGAATTAATGACTTGAAAGTAGATGAACTCCAGGTTTCCACCGGGATGTCTGATTCTGAAGTTTGTATTTCTTTTTCTTTTCTTTTCATGTTTTTTTTTTGTTATTATTCGAAACCATCCAATTTCTATTTTCTTAATATAACAATCTAATTTTCAGATTGTTGAAACTCCTCCACCAATTGTCATCACGAAACCCGCAAACATCACAAACAAATCCGTTAATCATTTCCCAGAAACAGGTTTCTTTATAGATCTAATGGCTTTAATTAAGGAGATGATTTCACTTCGTGTCGTGCACGTCTATAGTATAATATTGCAGAAACTTGAACAGTGGCATGTTAAACAGAAATCTTGAAAATCGGAAATTAATTTTTCCGCATAGACTTTCATTCACGAAAACTTGAGATGATTGAATCATTGTATATACTTCACTCTGAACTTTATTTAATAATACGAGTACTCTGCAAAAATTTCTATCATTAAAAATTATTTCCGAATCACCGACCCCTCTAGTTGACACGAGAATAACAGGTCAAAAAAAGAAAAGGCACTAAGACATTCGAAGATCTGCTCTACATGCGGAGCTCACGAATCTCACAAATGTTTTTAACAAGAAACATGAATTTGACTATAGTAGAGGTGGGATGTGATATTTGAAATTTATTTATCATTTATATTTTTATTAAAATTATGGGAAAAAGAAAGTACCATAATTGGTTCGGATGGGTTGATCAAGCGATACCCGGAGGAAAATTCCGTAACAGGTTCTTAAAATATTCTCGAGGTTTGATTTTTTTATTTTATACTATATATTATTCGAATTTTATTATAAATTTTTAAAAAATAATTTTTTATTTTGTTGATAGTTGTTGATTTTTATAAATCAGATAGATATATTAAAATTACCTTGTGACATATCATTTTTAAAAAGGAAATCAATATATAGAAGTTGTATTGATATATAAATTATTTTTTATCTATTGTCTATATATTTATTTATGTTAAATATAAAATAAATTTTATTTTATTATTTCTATTAAGCCAAATTAATAGCTTATATTTATTATTCAATAGATTACTTAGTGCAAAAAATATTTGAATATTATATATAGTTATTTTCAAAAGTTTGAGTTTGCTTATTATATTTTTATTATAAACTTTAATTTTATTCATTTTTAAATCTTTAATTAAATATATATTTTTTCAAATGATTTTTAAAGTTTATTATTTTTAAAAAATTTTTTTTTTTATCAAATTTTTATCATTGAATAATTTTAATTGATTGTTATTGTAAATTATATAATAATTATTAAAAAATAAAAATATTCTCAATAATAAACTTTAAAAATTATTTATTGAGAAATAAAATAAGGATTAAAATATAATATATAGAATATAAATTTTATAATTTTTAATTATATTATTAAAGATTTAAAAATAGATAAAATTAAATTTATAATAAAAGTATAATAAATAAATTCTAACTTTTAAAAGCAATTGTATATAATATATAGTATATATCTTTTGTGATTTTATTTATTTTTTGAATTTTTTAAAATTATTTTATTATAATATTATTAATAATATTGTTCTTAAAATCAAAATAAAATACAGTTGCTTTTAAAAGTTTAAATCCACTTATTATGTTTTTATTATAAATTTTAATTTTGCCAATTTTTAAATCCTTAATTATGTAATCAAAAATTGTAAAATCCATATATATTATACCTTAATACTAGTTTTATTTATTATATTTTTTTCAAAAAATTTATATATATATAATTTTTAAAGTTCTATTATTGTTAAAAAATTTCTTCCTTTATTAAATTTTTACTTTTAAAGGATTTTGATTGGCTGTTATCATAAATCATATGATAATTGATAAAAAAATAAAAATATTTAACAATAAATAAAACTTTAAAATATATTAATAAAAATTTTTTTAAAAAAATACAAAAAATAGAATAAGTATTAAAATATATATAAATTTCAAAATTTTTGATTATATAATTAATAATTTGATAATTGTCAAAGTTGAAATTTATAATAAAGACATAGTAAATAAACTCAAACTTTGAAAGCAACTGTATAATAGTTCTTTAAATAATTTTAATAATATAAAAAACAAAAGCATAGATTCAAACAATTATAAATAATAATATTAGTAATATTATTATAAATAATCATAAAAGTATCCTAAATCAACAAAACTATTTATTATAATAAAATATATAATTATAATAATAATAATATCCAAAATCTTTTTAAATATCTTAAAAAAAATTACTTAATAAAAATAAATTCATAATTACTTAAAAATTTTTACTATTTCAAAAGTTAATATAAAAAAAAATTTTTTTTTAAATGTTGACAAAATCAGAATTTTATTGAACTTTAAAAAATTGAGAAATAAAATTATATATCCAAACTGTCTATATAATAAAATATTAAAATAAAAAAAATTTTAATAAAGTATATCACCTTATGATTGAGTCATCTTTTTTAAACAAAAAAAAACTAATCTAGAACTTAACTAGTATTTAAAAAATTTTCAAATTATAAAAAAAGAAAAGAAATATATATTGAATCAAAATTTATTTTTATTTGTATTTTTTATCCTACTTTAAACACAGAAATTCAATTTTAAAAAAAACCATATAAGCTTAAATAGAGATAAAACTTTTATATTATAAAAAAGCATTAGAGAAAAAAGAAAAAATGATGCAACATTACTTAAAAACAATTATTATCTTTCAATTTTTATCTTGTTTTTATCATACTCTATTCAGTATAGAATCACTATATATGTTCCTTCAGTGATAATAGGCTAAAGTTTTATGAAAGCTCTAAAATATAGGAGAGGAATAATTAAAAAGAATAAACCTTATTATTTAATAATTTGTTATTCTTTACTATTATGATAATTTTAACATAGAAAAAAAAATCTTGATACTTTAAATATGTACCTTATTAAACTTGATAAATATTATTTTATTTTCTTCAAAATACTACTACTTATAGAAATTACGCCATTGTTTAATAAATATATAATTTACTAGTTAATATTAATTCTAGTAACAATATATTGATTTGATAATTAGATATAAATATAATAATTCAAAAATCTTTTTAATTTCTCAAGTATTATATACTAATACTGTAAAAGGTAGATGTAATATTCTTAAGATATTATTTTTATTCTATATTCTCTTGAATCTTATCTTTACTTGTCTTTCTTGTTAAAGATAGAAAGAAAAGTATGTTTCTTTTTTTTTTACTTATTTAAAAATAAAAAAGATAACTATATTTTATATTTACTCATATCAGTATATACATAACTTACAATAAATCCCAGGTTCTTATATTATAAATCTAAGAAAATATATTTAACCACATAAAATAATCAATAAGAGCTTGTTTATATTCTTTTATTGATGTATTTAATATTATTTAATTATTGTTTAAAAAACTTTATACTATTTAAAATTCAAAATCAAATTGAGATAGATAAATTTCTTTAAAGAAAATAAAAAAAGAGTAATATTAGAGTTCAAACAAAAACAAAGATAATGAAAATTTTATCTCTTATTTTATATAACTTTTTTAGTAAGTAAATAAATAATAAACTTCAATTCTTTTTTTTTTCAAAACTTTCTTATTATTAATAGAAAAAATATTTATAATTTTTAAATTATTGGCAATTAGATTTTTGTTCAAAGTAAAATATAAGTAAAAGAAGAAAGGTATAAAAATAACTTTTAAAATTTTTTTTAGATAGATTCAAAAAAAAAGTGATAAGCAGAAAATATAAAAATTTCTTGCAAATATTTTTTTTGTATATAATCAAAGTATTAATGAAAGAGTATATACTACAAAGTTAGTATAAATATATTTTATAAACTTAAAATATTGTTGAAATTTATTTTTATATAATAAATATATAAAAATCTTATTCAATAAATTGTTATAAATCAAAAATTTTTTATAATTATTGAAAAATTCATATTTTATAAATTTATTTAAATAATTTCACAAAAAATTAAAATATTATCTACTATAATTATTTTTTTTTTAAATCCTTAATCAAGCTAAATATATGTACTTTATTAAACATTTGTATACTTTATATTATTAAATATTTGCTAAAGCTAAATTTCTATCTAACTCATTTATCTTTATTTTAAATTTCTTAAAATTTTAGATATAACTTTGGAAATGATTTATTATTTCATTAGTAATTTAGGTAAAAACTCTTCAAACTGCTAACTTTATTGTTTACAGGTCACTATTGCAAATCATTCTTTGATGTTCTAACCGAATTTAAAATTTCAACTATTTCATTTTATACTCTATTCCTTTTGTAAAAATCTTTTTGAAACTTTTATATTCTAATTTTTCTTCTTATGATAGTGATTTTTTTCTTGTTATGGATGTACTATAGTTTTCTGGTCTGAAAAAATTGAAGGTCTTTTTATCTTATCTTTTTTACTGATCCTTTAAATTTGTTTTTATTTCATAATCTTTTCACATCTTATATTTCAAATTCTTTTTTGAACTTGATTGTAAACTATTTTTTACATCTTTATTATTCATTTTCTAGTTTCTTTTCTTATATATTTACTATAACATTTTAGATCTACTATTTTTAGAATAAGATTTTTTCTTATTAGGCTAGCATAAAAACTTAAAGTATCTTGACTAATTATAGAGATCTGTTTCACTAGTCTAAAAATTTACTTGTCAAACTCTTCTAGTTTTTTTTTATTATCAATCTATTAGTATTTTTTTCATCCTTATTTCTTCTTTTTTATAGAAGATCTTTAAAACTTATAAAAATCCTTTATTCTATACTTCTTGAAATTGATTTTTATAGGTTGAATATTCTAGCAAATATTTTATTGTTTTATTTTATTGACTATATGGAATACACTTCACTTACTTATATAAGTCAGGTTTTCTTATAGCCAATTTATATAATATTAATAGTTTATTATTAATCAGTTTTATGGAAAAGCTTTTTTTTTGAGATTTTTTAAATGATGTAACTTATATATATCATTTTTTATTTTTTTTTACACTAAATTTCATATATAGTCTTGCTGTTATAGAATCTGATGACTTTATTTTTTCTTTATTCAATTTTGTTACGTTTACTAATAGGCTATTGTTTTGTTGTTCATATTTTTGATAAATTGTCTAATTGAGTCATCTAAGGTCTTGTTTTACTATTTGATCTCTGTAATAATCTTGTAAGAGTTAAAATTTCTTTATTTGATTTATGGAAGTTTTAAAACTTCTTTGGTTAGAACATCTGCTTCTTTATTATAAGGATTATTGGAATGTACTTTGACTTTG